GGCGGGCACCGGGCCAGCCACGCAGCTGCTGCCGCCTCCAGCGGCCTTGGCGGGGCTGAGCTTGCTCCCGGGCCATGGGCGAGGGGTACAGACCCCACCGGGCCGCCCTCCACACAGGTAGGGCGAAGGAGCAGGGCACCGGATACTTTAGGCTCCATAACAGGTGCACGTTTTTCCAGAGGAGTTCAACAGCTAGCATTTCTAGGAATGAGGGTAACTTCTAAAAAAGCCAGCTCACTGTTGGAAGATACTTCACAGAAATCTTTCCTACAGATCAGGTCTTCTCAGTATGCTCAGATTCAATTTAAAGACTGAATCTAGAAGCAGCATTGCTTCAGTTTCACAAGTTCCAGAGCCAAATTTATGTTTTACAGCCCAGGCTCATCTTTCAATAGGGCTTTCTCCCACTAGGAAGCTTCAGCTCTGCAGTAACATGTCCTACTGACACACGCTAAATCCCAAGACTTATTTCTATTCTGTTTCAGCAGTGGAAGTTCTTGGTGTACATGGGAACAGAAGAGGTACGTAAATCCAAACTAGGGTGATGGCTGTCCTGCCTCCTCTGGAAAACAGTGAGTCAGACCCATAAAAATGAGAAAGAAGTCCAAGACTAGAAAAAGCATTTGCTGGGAAAAATCTGAAGGCTAGTGTTGTCAACACTGCTCCTCACCAACAGCAACTGGTAGTATGACCATCTTTTATGTAATTTAAGTTACAAATAGAGTTCAAGAGACTTATCAATAAAAATATGTATCACAGCACATGCTACCTGTCAGTTGATTCTGATCTCCTTTCGTTCAAACGCTTTCCCTGTAACACATGAAACCTCATTATTGCAAAATCCAAACAACATTCAAAGAAATTTTTTCTGGTTTTCCAGTCCATTCTTATTTACAGTCTAGTGAAAACTGTTTAAAGTGCAATTCTGTCTTTCCAGCCGACATTCTTTCCATTCCAGTCCCGCTTCCTGCAGTTTCCTCGGGTGGCTTTTGCTTTGCACCGCAATTGTCTGAATTAAGATCTAATGGGCTCAGTAGAAACTGGGTTCGCAAACAATTTAAAACATAGCATCCCCCAAACAGCTCCCTGAAGGCAGCAGGAAAAGCTGGGCTTTGCCATTAGCTGACACCACTCCAAGAAGTCAAAGGACCATCTGGGGATCAGAGGGCAGCAGTGCTGACATCAAGGCACTTGACAATTGAGCAATGGTTTACAAAGAGTTAATCATCTAAAGGTTTCAGCAAGCATTTTGGAGACAGCTCAGAAAAACAGAGCTGTAAATAGAAGTGAAGGCTCGGAAATACAAGATGGAGAGGCAGGCTGGATACAGAAGGGCCATGGGCAGTGCAAGGATTCACGTACATGAATGAAAACATCTAAGGGCTGGAAGGACACAGTCTGGAAGCAGGGGAGGGTAAAGAAGAGAAGGCTGCAGCAGTGAAATATTCTCAGAATGGTTGAAATGGGGTAAGGGAACCAGGATTTATTAACAGGACTTGCCTAATATGTGCATTACTCTTCCATTACGCAATATTTAGACCTTTGGTCATGCAATTCAAACAAACTCCCAAGTTTTCAAACCCCTTATCAAGCTCATAGGAGTCTCCTGGAATCCTTGCGATAGGGAAGGCATTGGTGCCTCACGCAGCTCTAAGGACACTGTGGCACTGTGTGGATCTTGCCACAAGACAAAGTAGAAGATATTGGGAAGGGAGTACGTGTAGTTGTCCATATGCATGGCAAGCATTAACCCTGGAAGAGCCTAGGATCTCTCACGCCCTCTCCAAGTCCAAGTCCTGTCAGTGGAAACGAGGATTTCTTCCTCATCAGACAGAAAATGCTCCTTTGTCCAAAGTCAGCCAGGTTGTCAGCAAGGTCTGTGTTCTGGCTGCGTGCTGAGATGCTGCAGCAGGGCACCTGCTCCTCAGCCCTAGTCTCTGCCCTCAGCCCTGGTGCTGCACGAGCACATACGAACGTAATACCAGAAATTTTATAGCCGGCACTTCTCGCCAGAAGCAAGAGCAATCTGGCTGTTACAGCTCTGCTTTGCCCATGATGGGAACCATTTCCACTTAGCCCCTGGCTGGCCAGCCTCCACTGCAGCCCCCCCATGAGCTGACCATTTGTTAGGGCAAGTCCCTCCGTGCTCCGCACAGACAGAGCGCTCTGTTGGAGGATCCTGGCATACGGAGCTGGGGGCTGGCAGCTGGGCACAGCACCTTGATGACTAAACTCCACTCTTCCCAAAGCTCTGAGCTGCAGAACCACAACAGAAAAGAAGTGCAACACTGGAGCATTCATTTACAGGATGTATTTATTACACTGTAAAAAGTGAATTGGATTTGTAGCCATTTACTGTATATATACACTGGTTGTACTCCCACCCCAACTGTAGGTTACTCTCAGTACAGGATACACTGGGTTGGAGTCATGCCCATGCCCCTCCCAGTCACCAGTGGATTTCTGAGATTGGTATTACTGAGAATCTAGCCAACTAATCGAGAGAGGAGGAAGAACGGAGATGCAGTGCTTGCCAGGCAGCCAGCTCTGCTTTGGGCATGAGGAGGTGGAAGAGTGGGACATCCTTGCTGCAAGGCAGAAGCACAAGAATGACTACTAGGGCCTCAGCTGCAGGGGCGTTCTAGGTGGAGAAGGAGGTGGGCTCCCAACAACTAGAAGATGCAGAAGGGTGCAATCTCTGCAGAGCTTCCAAGAGAAAGCACAGCAGACTTGCTGGGCATCCATCAGCAGGTGCCATAGATCCCCACATCTTCTCTAGCTGAAGAGGATGTTCTCCTAGGGAATGGGGCTGGACACCAAGAGGCCGATGTAGCGAGTGGTGGACAACGCAGCACTGCTGCGCGCCCCGGGGGAGCAGGTCCCCAAGCACTGTTTGAGACATGGCCATGGTGCTCTGCTCTCAGCTCACGGGACTCTGCGTTTCCTTCTCATGTGCTCAACTAGGCAGAGCCTTCTGAATTTGCTTTCTCCAACCGGAAAGCCTTATTACATTTACAGGAGGAGGGAAGGAAAGCCGTGCTGCCCCTACCAGACTCCTCTACTGCCTCCTCCCTATCTGGCATGAGGACTGCTGTGATCCATGTTGCAGAAGGAAAGCATGTGGCTACAGCAGACAAGAAGCCCTATGTAGCAAGCTAGGAGCTGCACTGTAAGCAACCCGCATTTCTACACAAAATTCTCCACCTGCTG